CCCCCCCAGCGCGCCATCAGAAGGTGGATGAGAACCCCATCGGCGGGATATGCAGGTGGTGGAACGAGTCACCAGGGTTGGGACGAACCCACAACGGACAGGATATGAGATGGCGACCAGAAAAGATTTGGCTGGAAGAGCGACAGAAGGGCCAAGCCCACCCAAGGCCCACCCAGGCCTCCGACGGCGCGATTACTTCAAATCCACGGCGTCTCCACCTCGACCCCGCCATTCCTGCAGACTGGACTCTCGTCCTGGATCAAATCTAGGAGGCCTCGGAGACTGGCTTCCGGAAGCCGAAACAGAGGAAAGGCCGCTGGCCTTGAAAAGATCAGGACGTCCAGAGCCTGGGTCTGGCGCCAACAGCTTCTCGACCCCTGGACTTCCAACCGGGGGCGATCCGTCCAGAGTTTCGGGGCGGATCCAGCCGCGGACACGGGGGGGCCTCCCTGGATCATGTCAGACTGCGATTCAGAAAAACAAGTCGGGGGCACGTGATTTAAAATATGGTTCTTCTGCTCGGGCGAATCGCGGGGGGGGGGGCGCCGGCCAACTTGACGCACGCGGCGGCGGCGCGCTTGCTTGGCGGCGGCGCCCGGCCGACGGCACGAGGGCGACGCGCGCGACGCAAGCAGTGCCGCTTCAGCGGAGGGGGGCAGCAGCGCCTCCGATATGGCGGGGCGACTGGGCCAAAATGGCTGCAGACGGGAGGGAAGCAGGCGGGGGAAAGAGGCGCGTTGGCTGGCGGGCGGGGCCAGCATGGCCATAGACAAGACAGGGAAGAAAAGGGGGAGGAGCGGAAGAGGCAGGGGGAAAGGGCTCCTCCTTTTCTCGGCCCCCCCGATCTCCCTCCACCAAAACGTCCTACGACGACGACGAATACGACGACGAATGCGACGACGACGACGACGACGACGACGGTTATGTCAACGGCGACGGCGACGGCGACGCACTGCGGATGCTCTAAGGGAGGGGGTGGGGGGGCGGGGGTGCTGCGTTTGCCCGCTGTACTCGTCGACGACGACGACGACGACGGACGATGACGCACTGCGCGGTCGACGGCAACGACGACGACGACGACGACGACGACGAGAACGCGGACGAGACGAGGACGAGGACGAGGACGACGGCGACGACGCACTGCGGATGTCCTATGGGTGGGCGGCGGAGGGCTGTTCAAATGCACGCTGCAATCGACGACGACGGACGACGACGGCGACGACGACGACGACGTCGACGTCTACGCTGAAGATGACGACGACCTCGGCGACGACGACGACGAGGCGACGACGGCGGCGACGACGACGAGGCAATGCGGATGCCCCACGGGGCGGGGTGGGGTGCGTGTGCTGCGCGGGCCCGCTGTAGCCGACGACGACGACGACGGAGACGACGACTGACGAGAACGAGGACGACGACGACGACGACGACGAACGACATCGATGACGATGACAACGGCAGACGACGACGACGACGACCGACGACGACGACGACGACGACGACCGACCGACGACGAACGACATCGATGACGATGACAACGACAGACGATGACGATGACGACGACGACGACGACGACGACCGACGACGCACTGCGGATGCCCTATGGGGGCGAGGGGGGCGGGGGGTTTTTGCGTGGGCCCGGTGTAGTCGACGACGACGGACGACGACGTCGGACGACGACGACGAAGACGCCGACGTCGACGTCGACGACACGAGGACGAAGACTAAGACGAAGACGACGACGACGACGACGACGAGGAAAAAACCAACACGACGACGATGACGACGACTAAAAGGACGCCGACGACGACGCACTGCGGATGCTGCATGGGGGGGGGCGGGGGTGCTGCGTAATTATGCCCGCTGTTATCGTCTACGACGACTACGACGACAACGACGGCGGACGACCACGCGCTGCGAATACCTTAGCTGCAGCCGACGACAAAGACGACGACGAAAACAACAACATCAACAACACAACAACGACGGCGGCGACAACAACAACGTGCTGCAAATGCCCCAGGCGGGGGGGGCGTAAGCCAGGCCCGCTGTAGTCGACGACGACGACGACGACGCCGACGACGGCAACTATGGCACGTCAGTAATCAGACTGAGAGGGGGAAAAGCTTCGCTTCGGGTGCATACGATCCCTCGCACAAATTCTATACGAAAGGCAACCGCTTTGAGGCTTCCGTGCAAGGGGATGCACGATCCCCTCGACGGCGCACGCAATGACTCCCTGGCGCGCGCCATGTAAAAAAGTGTTTCGCGCTTCGTGGGGTCCTTTGATCAGCCCTGAGAAGGCCCTCGTTTAACCGCATGAAGCTATTAAGAACCCCCCCCCGGGTTATCATTAGCACCGCACCGCAATTAGATAATTATCCCAGTGCGACCCTACCTAGGAGTTGGAGCCCCTAGAGAAGCAGCATTAGTAGTAACGGTAAAGCTAAGCTACAGCTAAGCTAAAGCTAAACTAAAGCTAAGCTACAGCTAAGCTGAAGCTAAGCTACAACTAAGCTAAAGCTAAGCTGAAGCTAAGCTAAAGCGAAGCTAAACCTAAGTTAAAGCTAAGCTACAGCTAAGCTAAAACTAAGCTAGTGCTAAGCTAAAGCTAAGCTAAAGCTGAGCTGCAGTTAAGCTACAGCTAAGCTAAAGCTAAGCTACAGCTAAGCTAAAGCTAAGCTACACATAAGCTAAAGCTAAGCTAAAGCTAGGCTAAAGTTAAGCTAAAGCTAAGCTGGAGCGAAGCTAGAGCTAAGCTAAAGCTAAGCTAACACTAAGCTAAAGCTACGCTAAAGCTAAGCTAAAGCTAAGCTAATACTAAGCTGAAGCTAAGCTAAAGCTAAGCTGAAGCTAAGCTAAAGCTAAGCTGAAGCTAAAGCTAAAGCTAAAGCTAGGGGACGTAACTGGGGGAACAGCAGGGCGGATCCTAGGGGAACCGCCCGGGGCGGGTTCCACTGCCCGGCCCTTTAAGCCCACAGGGTAAGAACCCTTCTAGGCAGAGCCTAGGTAGGGAATTATGGGGGGCGGTTTTCGCCGAACGATATACTTAGCACCACGCAAATGAACGAACATAACAAAATGTCAGCGCCCTGGCTAGGGTGATATCCCACTTGGAACTGGAATGTTTAACAACCAATTTAAACATGAAACAGTTAATACGAGTAATAAAAACAATAATGATAGTATAAGAACAAGAAGAATTAATCAGACAAGTAACTATAAGACTGATGAGAGTAAGAGTAATAATAATACGACTAATTTTCAGAGTAAGAACATTGAAAAAAAAGATACTAATCATAATCCGATTGAGAATACGGATACTATAAATAATATGCACAACAAAAATAATGATAATAATCCTATTCAGAATAGGAACAAGAATTGTTGTCTCATGTTCTTCACCATCCTTGTGCTATACAACTTACGTTACCACCCCAATTGAAAAAATGGTTTCCCCCGGCCGTCGTGTGGGGTCGTGCATCGAAGGGTATTGCTCCCGCCAGAAAAAGCGCGTTATCTTAGCACCGCACCCGCACAAAATAGTTACGACAGGCTCTCAAAAAAGACATCATGTACAATAAGACCAATAATCATAATTAAAATACAACTAAGAATGAGACTACGGAAAATACTTCGAAAACGAATAATAATAACCATAATGATACTCATAATAACATACACAAGAATAATAATAATAATAATGATAAGAGTAAGAGTAAGAAGGGTAAACATATTAATCAGATTAAGAATATTAATAACAATAATAACCATAATCATATTAAGGAAACTGATAATATGAATAATCAGAATATGATTCAGAATAACGATAATAATGATGATAACAGGATTAAACATAATAATGCTAATGAGGATGAGAGTAAGAGTAGTAATAATGATAAGAGTAATGATAACGAGTAAGAATATAATAAGAATCATAATCCGAATGCTAATACTGGTAATGATGAGAATGATCAGACTAATAACAAAAAGAATACGAATACGAATCACAATTATAATGATAGTGAGAATAAGGAAAGTAACGATAATATTAAGCATACTAATAACAAGAAACATAAACTTATCTTATTATCTTCAGCATCCTTGCCCTAAACGATTTGTATTACCATACCTGTTGAAACAATGTTTTTTCCCCTGGCCGTCGTGTGGGGTAGCGCATCCGAAGATATCGCCCTCGCCGCGCACGCCGCGTTATCTTAGCACCCGCACCGTCAAAATTATTCGCCCCCCATCGTAGGCACGGACGGTTCCTTTTCAAAGCTGGGCTCTCCCTTGCGTGGGACTTAATGTTGTTATTGTTGGTGTTGGCGTTGTGGTGTATTTGATGTTGATGTTATTGTTGGTGTTGTTATTGGCCTTGTTGTTCTAGATATAAGTCTTATTGCTGGCATTATTTTCGTTGTTCGTGTTGGTGCCGTGCCGTAAGGGAGTCTGGAGGAGGAGGAGGAGGAGAAGGAGGATTTGTTCTGTTTAGCTGGGCCAAGGCCTCTTGACTGAGGCCTTGGCCCTCGGCTTGATCCGTAATGGCGAATAAGAGCCAAATTATGCGAGAATGTCTCAGGCGGTGTGCTTGTTTCGGCGAGCAGACTCGTCTGCGTTCACATAAAGGTGCGAAGTGCCAAGGTAACGTTTGTGGGGTGCCGGGTGCGTTATACTTTCGCCGGAGAGGGGGGGGGGGTCTTAATTGCTTCTCTGGGTTATTAAACACAAGCTGACATTACACAGAGAGCCGAACAAGACGTTCAAAACACTCCATCCTCGACAGAGCGCGAAAGTCATGTATGTCATGATAGGATCGGTTCAGGATGCAATGCAGGAAATCCAAGAGTATTTAGCGGCCCACGTCACTGCAGCCCGTGTGGAACATAAACAAACTGGAGAATCCTGGAAGCCCCCTCCCTCGGAGGGGCGCGCGCCCTTTGCTCTTCCAGCCGCCCGGTGCCGGGCGGAGTCGTGCGCCCACGGCGACCCCCACCCGCCTGCTTCTCGCAGATCCCGCACAGGTGGTGGCGCTGCTGCATGTGCTGCAGCAGCTCCTGCACGGGGCCCGTGGCCGCAGAGCGGAGGCGAGACCGCCCACGGCGACGCCCAAACCGAAAACCGCCCGGACCGACAGCGGACCTGACACCGACCGGGACCGACAGGCCGCAGGCAGCCCCGACGGGGTCGTGGTCGTGGTCGTGATCGTGGTCGTCGCGGTCGTCGTCGTCGTGCGCAGCGGCGCAGCAGTCATCCGATCCGACTTAGCGTGGCCGACTTTTGCGCAGCCGAACTGACCACGCCGCGGTCACCCAAGGAGGGGCGACAAGGGCGCTCCAGCGCCAGGGCCTGCGCTCTTGAGGAGGATGCCCCCCGAGGCCTCTCGGAGACCTGCCTTAGAGCTCCCCTTGCGTTCCGCAGGCTCCTCAAAATCCTGCTCATTCGCTCCCTCGCAGACATGCAGTAGATCCCTCGTCGCCGCTATATTCAAATAGTCCAGGACCGGCACGCGCAAACGCCCGCATGCGTGACCTGTTGGAACTTATAGACTGTGTGACGGCCCCTTGCATTCGGTGATTCTGATATGAATCTTGCGCCAGCGCGCACAGGAGAGTAGGAAGAGGGGGAAAAGTTTCTCAGGAGGGGGCTGCTTCTTCAATGCGCCGGCCCTACATCTACAGACGAGGCCCGCGCCTTCTAAGAGGCAGGGGTGCTTCTGGGAAGCCCCCCCTCCTCCCCACCCCACCCCAGTTCGTGGCCGACCCCTGCGCTCCGCGGGGCACACGAAGAGAGGGAGGGCCGCGCACAAGACCAAGCCTCGTCTCCGACACAATACCTAGGTGGCCACGGGTGAACCCTGCCCCCCCCCCTTCGAAATCGTGGGGGGCGGGGGGCAAGGTTCACATGTGGCTACCGAATACCTGCATCCCCGCGCAGCCCGACATCTCAATCCCCCGATGCCGAATCCGGGGGAAGAGCGGCGCTCGCGTGCAGCGGCCAGGGGCAGGAGCGGCGCTCGCGGGCACGGCGGCCGCCGCACTTTCGCGCCGACTGCCCGCAACGCCTACAGCCGAACCACCTTGCAGTCGGGCGCGCGGCCTCCCAAGAAGAAGGCAGGCTCTCAGATCGACGCGCCCCGTTCAGCCTTGAAGGCTGGGCACGGTCAAGCGGGGAGCGGCATGCCACAGCGGCCCCATCGTTCTGCTGCATTTCTCGAGTCCCAGGTGGGTTTTTTGGGAAGCTCGTTGTAACATATACCGCCTCGGTTTAATAGCCTTTAGTGGCCTTTGGCGGCCTTTGGTGTGGTACAAGCAGCTTTTAGTTGCCTTTAGTCGCCATTTCGCAGCCTCAGTTGCCTTTAGCGGCCTCTGGCAGCCTTCAGTGGCCTCCGGCGGCTGCACAAGTGCAGAGCAACGTGTGTGTTTATCTACGTTAAGACGCGCTTCCAAAAAAAAACCCACTTCACGAATCGTACCGATCCGATGGAGCCCTGATGGGGCCCCCGACACGGGGCGTTGTCGGGCAGTGTACGACACTTGCGACGCCTGGCGCTCGACGGAGGGGCCTCCCGAGGTGGCAAGGGGCGGGCCTTGGGGCCCTCGCAAAGGCCGCCCGCATCGCCACGGAGGCCCCCATATGCGAGGCGGGGATATCTACCCATACCCTCCGCTTGAAAAACGACGTCCCGGTGCCTCGGCGGGCGGTGGATGTGGATGTCTTGTGGCCCCCGGGGGTTCGAATCTGTCCACGTTCATCGCCTGTGGAGGTCCGCGAGGAGGAGAAGGAGGAGGAGGAGGGGAAGGGGGAGGAGAAGGAGGAGGAGGAGGGGAAGGGGGAGGAGGAGTATGATGATGAGGAGGAGGAGGAGGAAGGGGAGGAGGAGAAGGAGGTGGAGGAGGAGGAGGAAGAGGAGGACGAGGAGGACCGCTTGCCAGCGCCCGCTCGACGCCATCGGGAGCGGGCGGTCCCTGCAGGGGGGCTCCGGGCCTCTTTCAGGGGTGGACATCGCTCCCTGTAGCAAAACGCCTCTTCGTAAAAGCTGTCAGAAGCACTCCACGTTCGCACGGCACCGCATTCCGACTGCACCCCCGCGGGGTAGCTGGCGGGTGTTCTGCGAAACGAGCGTCGATTGGCAAAACCGACTGGGGACTGCGCCACTGTCGCGTGAACCCGAATTTCCCCAGATGTCACCGAGGACAATCTTTTGGAGCCGCTACGGCCCCCAAATAGCCGCCGAATTCCAAAGGAGTTGCGCGGCAATGTTAACTGTTTGAAAACATGCAGTGCCTGGCGCGTTGGCCAGCCTGCAATGTCTCCTGACGAGCATCCATTTTGAACCAAACATTACCGCGGCCGTCGCCATCATCACCGCCCAAACCACAATATTACAAATGTTCAATCATCGTCGGGCTGAGGTCAAGTCAGCCTGCGTCGCCGCACATCGACTCTTTGCCGTAGCTGACTGCTGCGAGCCCCCAGCAGCATTTGTCGACAACTGTCAAAAGCAAAACCGCTGAAATGGTCGTTGAAAGGGCCGCCAGGAGGGCCGCCGAAAGGGCCGCCGAAATCGTCGCCGAAAGTGCCGCCGAAAGTGCCGCCGAAATTGCCGGCGAAATCGCCGCCGAAATTGCCGCCGAACTTGCCGCCGAACTTGCCGCCGCACTCACCGCCGAAATTGCCACCGAAACTGCCGCCGAAATAATTGCGAACTCCAAAATAGCCGCCCGAATTCAGCCGCCGAAGTCGCCGACGAAATTCAGCCGCTGATATTAGCATTGCCCTGTCGCAAGCAAAATCGTTGTTCGATTAAGCACGATGGGCACGATGACGCCGCGGACACAGGCATAGAATCACAGCCAAGATCACATTCGGCCTCTTTTCGGCGGAGCCATCTGGAATTTCGGCGGAAATTTCGGCGGCAGTTTCGGCGGCGATTTTGGCGGCAATTCCGGCGGCGATTTCGGCGGCAATTTCGGCGGCAATTTCGGCGGCAATTCCGGCGGCCCTTTCGACGGCTCTTTCGGCGGCCCCTTTGGCGGCAATCTCGGCGGCCCTTTCGACTGTCCTTTCGGCGGCCATTTCGGCGACGTTGCTTTTGTCAACTGTCGACAATGGCTGCCGGGAGCTCTCGGCACTCGGCGGCTCCAGCCGGCCCTGAGAGGGCCCTCGAAGGGCCTCACCAGAAAGCGTCTGCGAAGTAGCTCAAGCCATGCGTGATTCGCACGCGGCAGCATGCGCAACGTGCAAAATGAATGCCTCGCATCATGCGTCAGCACGCTCGAAGGTGTGCTTGGAAACCACTGCGCGGCAGGGCGTGCCTGCACATTGAAACTTTAAGAACAACCTCAATTTCGTCTGGAATGGATTTCGGCGCGCGCCCCTTGTCGTCTCCAAAGAAAGAGCCACTATGACCGTTGGCCTTGCCCTAAACTGGGGCATAGCTAAACGGGAGCTCAGACTTTTCCATGTGCCCCCGTTTGATATGCCCCCGTCTACGGAGCCCAGGGCCTCCTAAACGGGGGAATAGCCAGGCGTGGAAATCGGCGCTCCCCGTGACCGTTTGCTGTGACCCAATCTCTGGCGCCCTGAGGGGCCCTCCCGTGGGACCGGATCGGGCTCGGCCCGGAGCGTGTCGGGTTGAAAGAAGCTGCGTACACCTCGCTGCACACGCGCGCGATCTCTGCCCCGGAAGGTCGCGGAGGCATGCGCTCGAGGAAGCTGGCAGCTGGCGCCGTGCCCCCCAGCAGAAGATGAAGCCAGCATCGGGGATCTTCTGACCCGGGTCAATCCAGACCCGGATCAGCAGGAAACCAAAAACTGCAATGCAGAAAAAAAACTGCAACGCAGGTCTTCGCAAACCCGGGTCAGCCAATATGTGCGGCCGCCTCGCGGCCACGAGCGGCTCGCTAATCCGGGTCAGCCAGAGGGGTTCTTCGCAGGATCCTGCAGGATCCGGTGCCGTGGCTGACCCCCGTTTGCACTGACCCCCGTCTCAAGGCTCCCGACAGCACTGGGACAGCATCGAGCCGGGACAACTCGGGAATCCTTGAGATCCGGCGGTTCGGCGGTGGACAAACCTCCCTTTAGTAGACCTCCCCTTAATGAAAACGGCTTGGGACCGAAACCGACGGACCTGGACCCGCAAAAATGACGGCCGCGACGCCCTCTCGCAAACCGAAAACGGCCAATTCCTTAATCGACGTGTCACTGTTAGGAGGTCTGTCCACCCCCGAGTTCTGGAGACTGCATCGGGTGCCGCGGCCGTCCTGGACCCGCCCGACAGCAGCAGCAGCAGCAGCAGCAGCAGCAGCAGCATCGAGGATGAAGGTGCAACGATCGAGGCTCTTGGGCGCCCTGCGCCCCTCGCGGGTCGCCAGGGAGCCGTCCTACGAGGCGGGGATCTGTGCACATCAACCGTCTGGGGAAGCGACGCCCTGGGCCCCAAGCGGGCGGTGGACATCGATAGATGTTGGCCTCAGGGAGCCCGACTATTCGGCGGCGGGCGAGGAGGGGAGAAGTGAGGAGGACGCCGTCTCAGAAGGCGACGGGACTTCTCAGTAGCCGTCGCGCCTTCTGAGAGCCTTCCTTCTGACAAGCTTCCAGTCATTCGTCGTCGCCATCTTTCATCGTCATGTTGGCATCGGCGTTTGGCCGCGCTCTCTCGCCTGTTGCCGCCCTCGACAGCGTTTGGCTGTCCGGCTTATGTTTGCACTCGGATGCAAGGCTTCTGTTCTGTACTGTACTTGGGAAGCCTCAGAAAACTTCTCGGAAGGCTGGAGGACTTCCGAGCATTCCGAGCAGGCCCGCCCCCTCTCTCTTCCCCACCCCGGGTGGCCACCGACGACTATATCAGAGGCCTCCCAGATGGGGTCCGAGCAGACGGGGTCGAAGGATCGCGCCGCATCGCCGTTGCACGACCGATGCATCGGCGATGTCGGCGTGGAGAAAATCGGGCCCCACATCGAGCCGCATCCGCTCCTGCTCCCCCGCCTCTGGTCTCCGTCCTCCCGCGCCCCATGTTTCGCTGGGCGAGCTCAAGGTGCTGCCCTGAAAGTAGCATTCGTGCGGTAAAATCCGACTTGGCAGCATGTCACACAAATCAAGGCTGCTGCCAGTGCGGGCGCAAAAAGGGCCAGAACAACTGGTAGAAGATGAAGTGCCCAGAGGGCGCAGAGTAGCCAAGCAGGCGGCCGATGGGAGAAGGGAGAGAGGGGACGCATAACCATAACACAGGTCCTGCGTCTCCTCCCGCGCCTCCCCCTCTTCACCCTTCCAGGCTTGAGCATTTCCCAGGCCCTCCGGCAGCACGAGGGCCTCCTCCTCCTCCTCATCCTCCTCCTCGGGCCTCCGGCTACAGAGGCAGAGGCCTCCAGCTACAGAGGCCAAAGGCCATCGGGACCGCCGACCCAGCGCGGCCTTCCTTATGTCCTCGAGCGAAAAACCCCCTTCCAGGGTTGATGTGCAGGTGATGCTTGAGGCTGGAGGCCCGAAGGCTGGCCTGAACAGCCGTCAGGCTGGAGGCCTGAACAGCGCGGCAGATGTAGGTCCACTAAGGCGCTCATGTGCAGATGTGCTCGAGGCTCAGACTGGCCCCGATTGGTGCCTGATCTGATCCTCCGCACCCTTCCATCTCCCCTTCCCCTCACCCAAAGGGATTTCCTGAGACAGCGCCGCTGTGGAAAAACGTCGCAAGCCCCTTGGAGACAACAGCCCGCTGAGAGGGCCGCTGCTCGTACGACCCTCTCGAGGGTGCGTACGGCGCGAGGACATAAGGACAGCGTACGCGGGTGCGTGGCGGAACGCACTTCTCATGCACATAAGAGGAAACCTGCAGTGTGATTACGTAAGCACGGTATGCGGCATTCCAGCCACGAGGTGGACCCGACGCGACGCTCCGACAGAGGGTGGCGTGTGGATGTGAGCACACGAAACGTCCCATACCTACGTCGTGCGATGCGTCCCCCTCTCCCTCCCAGGTCTGTTGCTGCTTGACGTGATATTTGAGCCTCGTGTCTTTCCCCCACAGCGATTAGATATGATAGGCGATCCTCCTTGTCGTAGAAGCCGCGCTTGCAGAAACCACAATCGGCGTGCGGCGGTGTGGGCGGAAAATGTCGGCCACCCAGCGACCTTCGCCGCACCAGGAGAGAAAGGGGGGGCAAAATTTCAGTCATGGGTGCTTGCACCGTCTGCATACACTGCTACACACACACCGGCACGCCCGAGCCCTTGAATTCCAACTCTTGATGTTTCCCTCACCGATGTCTGGTGACTCATGCAACCAGACTAAGAACGCCCACTACATGATACAATCGATCACGACCTGGTACTCACAGTCGACAGTGGGCCTCCCGAGAGAGGCAGCTACGTAGGGCGGCATGGGAGCCCAGTGTGCAACACGAGCTCAAGTGAACGACCTCGGAATTGTAGAGGTCCTACCTTCGGGGAGGGACTACCCCACCCCCTACCCCTCCCCTGGACCTGGACGGGGGGGTCCGCGACGAGCGTCCAAGATGGCCCAGGACGGCTCCAAGAGCGCCTCACAGACCCCACGATGACTTCCAAGATGGCTCAAGATAGCCCAAGATGCCCCAACATGGCTCCTCAGATGCTCCAAGAGGCCCTAAGAACGCTCCAAGACGGCCCCAGGTGGCCACGGAGCCTCCCCAGGAGGCAGCCAAAAGACCAAAATCCTTCCAAAAGCTAAGGAACATCAAGGCGTTTTGCTTTCTCACCTTTTCGCATCCGATGGCCTTCCGAGGCCTCAAGACAGCTCCAAGAGGGCCCATGAGGGCCCAAGAGAGGCCCATCAGAGCCCCAAGACGGCCCCAAGATCGTCCAAGAGCGCTCCAAGAGCGCTCCAAGAGGCGCTTTGTGGGGCTCCCGAAGGGAGGGCATAATTGGAGCTCCCATCTTTTTCGATCGATCTCCTCTGGGACGCGCAGAGACATCTCGCACTACATGTATACCCATCTTGTAGTACAGCTTTTCCCGATCGGTGCGGCCAGAAAACGCCTGCCACAACGCATATACTATAAGATGCCTCGGTGCGCGCGTCGCCCAAGGGGGGGCGACGCACATGTAATGGAAGTATGATGGGGCAACGCCGATTCTCCTAGATGGCCCCAATAGCGCTCCCAAGGCTCCCAAGAGCGCCTCAAGAGGGCCCCAAGAGGCGCCCAGGAGGCCACAAGAGGCGCCCAAGAGGCCTACAAGAGCGCTCCAAGAGGGACCCTTCCTCTGTGTGCTGCCCACTCCCCTGATCGAAGCAACTCCTCTGGGCATCGCCCTGGATGGGCTGGTAGGATTACTTTTTTGGTCGGCGGCTCCAAGGCGACGGTCAGGGAGCGGAAACGGCGTCCGGGATGCGGAACGGTGCGAATTTGCGAACAAAGCCGCCAGAGTCGGCGGGCGAGCTGGTAGGATTACGCGCAACGTCACGAATTCTTTTCTGAACGCTCGAAGTGGGTACGGAAAAAAAATGGGTACGATGGCCAACGATAACTTGTGCCCAAAACCGACGGCCGCCGCTGCGGAGCAGGCGGCCTCCTGTCTCGAGTGAGAAAGGCCCACGGCGGCACCGACAGCAGATCCTGTCCAACATGGACGCGGACTTCGGGGATCTTCTGACCTGGGCCTTGCAGGATCCTGCTCCTGCTCCTGCATCCTCGTCCTCCTCCTCCTCCTCCTCCGCCTCCTCCGCCTCCTATTCCTCCTCCTCCTCTTCCGCCTCCTCCTCCTCCAACTCCTCCTCCTCCCCGTCCTCCTCCTCCTCCGACTTCCTGGCCTTGCAGGATCCTGCAAGATCCTACCAGATCCTGCAGGATCCTCCGCCCAAACCCGGGTCAGTGCGCCCCCTGGCGCCGCAGGATCCTGCAGGATTCGGCGCTCTGGCGGACCCCGTTTGCATTGACCCCCGTCTCTTGTAGACGAGCGCGCTCCACTACTCGCAGAGCAGCTGCTCGCAAATGGTCTGGATCCGCCGCGGGGGATCTACGATAGAAATACATCGAAGCAAACATGTGTTTTGCTGGGCGTTTGCGAGTAGGCACATTGCCAGTAGTGGATCGCGCTCGGTGATCTTCAGCCCCGAACTGCTCTTTCTGCACGGTTTCCCTGGGGCCGTAGGCGACCCGAGGAGGAGGAGGAGGAGGAGGAGGAGGAGGAGGAGGAGGAGGAGCAAGTGGAGGAGGAGGAGAAGATGGAGGAGGAGATGGAGGAGGCGGAGGAGGAGATGGAGAAGGCGGAGGAGGAGGAGGAGAAGGAGATGGAGGAGGCGGAGGAGGAGCAGGAGCAGGAGGAGCAGGAGCAGGAGCAGGAGCAGGAGCAGGAGCAGGAGGAGGCCGGCGGCGAGGCCGTGGCCGGTCGCCCTCCGCGCGGTGGCGCGCCAGCTCCTCCGGGCCGTACAGCGCCTCGCCGCACGCCGGGGGGGCAGGCGCCCCTCGGCGGGAGTGGCCGAGGGCCCAGGCAGGCACTCGGCGTGCCCCGCGCGCCAGCCCCCACGACCGCCCGCGCGCACGGGGGGGGGAGTCCCTGGCCACCGCTCGGGCGTCCGTGCCCTGTGCGTGCTGCGGTTTCGTGCGCGGTTTTTGTTCGCAGGGTGGTGCAGGATGCTCCTCAATCAGTGGTCCCCCGCCGAGGAAAGAGTGCACGCGTCCGAGCGAGGCCAAGGTTATGGCCGTCTTCCTTCCAGGAGCCCTCCTCGCGGCCGCGCCCGGTGGAGAGATCCTCTGGTGTGCTGTGGCCCGCTCGCAGCGACAGCCGCCAGCAGGACCAGCAAGTCCTCCGATCCGTCGAAGGGGACAGTCTACTCTTACCAGCCTGGAACATATCCCTATCCCTATGCTGGGCATCTCCTCGTCACGATGCCAATCTTAGGGATTCCCGAATTGTTTGAGGGCGCATCCCTAAGATTGTCATCGCTTTTTGGGGTGTGAATCTTAGGGATAGGGATAAGTTCGAGGCTGGTAATACTCGCCGTCGAAGAGAAAGCAGTTACTTCAGACTGGAGCGAGGAGGGCAGCGCCAGAACGAGGGCGGCGGCCGCGCGCGAGCAGCAGCAGGGCCTGTGTGGGAGGGATAAGGGAATTTGGCTCTTTCTAGTTCGGGCGTTGTTTGGAGGAGTAAGAGAAGGAGGAGGAAGAGGAGGAGGAGGAGGAGGCGGAAGAGGAGGAGGAGGAATAGGAGGCGGAGGAGGCGGAGGAGGAGGATGTGCAGGAGCAGGTGCAGGAGCAGGTGTAGAAGCAGGAGGAGGACCCCGATGAGGAGGAGGAGAAGGAGGAGGGGAAGCTGGAGAAGCAGGGGCTGGAGGAGGAGGAGGAGAAGGAGGAGGAGCAAGGGGAGGAGGAGGAGGAGGAGGAGGAGGAGGAGGAGGAGGAGGAGGAGGAGGAGGAGGCTCATTCCCTCGACCGCATCCACCGACCCTGGTCGTGTGAGTTGTACTCCATGCAATGCATGTCTCGGAGGTGTTCTGACGAAGCCGTTGGATCGAACTTTCCCCCCTCGCTTCGGCACGTCGGCAAGCACGGCAGCAGACAGCAGGGCAGTCCTGGCACGGCATCGCGGGCCCGTTTGGCCCCTCGCGCTGGCCAGGAGGAGCGCCCCTCCCCTCTGGGCACGCAGGGCCGCGGCCCGGAGGTGCGCGTGGAGCCGCTGGCAGAGGCTCTCTGGGCTTCGATCCGACGGGCTCGGAGACGTCGAGCGCCTCGACCGATCTGTATATTGGCAGCGGGGCCGCGGCTCCACGGCCAAGGGAAGAGGAGGCGTGGCCCACGGGCGGCAGAGGATCCGAGGCCAGAGGCCACAGCATGCTGGCCGGGCACCCGGGTTCGAGGGCTCCCTCCGAGGACTGCAGGGCCTTCAGGAAGAAGGCAGAGATCTACGCCGCCAGGGCTCGAGGTAAAGAGATAGAGAAGCTCGTCGGTCTCAAAATCAAGCGAGGCCTGTGGGGCAGAGCATGGGACGTGGAGGAGGGTGTACACATGAACGACATCGAGCAGGGACAGGGCTGGATGACTATACTGCAAGCCCTGGACCGCGCGTACAACTATGACCAGACCGATTTCGAGAGTTGTTTCTTCCGCGTGGCTCGTAAGCCGAAGGAACCCCTAATCGAGTACTTGACGAGGTTCCGCATGGCGGAAAGGAAGATCAAAACACAGGATAAGGACGCATGATATCACCCTCCCGGACCAGGGGCTGGGATGGGTTCCCCTGCGGCGAGTCGGACTGGACAAGGAAGGGAAGCAGCCAGCTCATCATGAATCCGACTGGGGACAACCTCACCCTCGAGAAGGTAGAGAGCCAGCTGAAGACTACGTTCGGCCTGGACTCGCTGCCGTCAGAGGGCAAGCGCTGGAGCTGCCGCGTACCAGGTGGACGAGTACTACGAGGAGGACGACTACCAGAAGGAAGCAGACTCAGACTACGGTGAGGAAGACGAGGACCCCAGCTACGACGACGGCGGTGGCGACCAACAGGTGGAGCAAGGAGGTGCTAGCGGCTTCGACAGCGAGGCCTGCTACTACAGCGACACAGCCTACATGCAAACCTCAGATCAAGCAGCGTACAGCGTGGACGAATATGATGACATCATGGCCACCTACACTGACGCCCCGAAGAAGATTAACGACTTGAGACTGGCCAGGGGGTTCTACCCCGTCATGTCCGTGGTGCAGCCGCCGACACCACCAACCAGGAGCACACGAGGTCATTTCGCTCGCGACTGTCCACGTTGCCGAAGACGCGTCCGACATCAGAATGCTCACCGAAACGGAGCCCGACCTGAACTACAATGCAGATGACCAAGACCCAGCGGAGGCCATACACAACAGTGGAGTCACCAGCGTGACAATTGGAGAAGATACGCGCAAGTCATACTGCAAGAGGCGGGTCTTGAAGAGCGTCATGGTGAACAATGTTTGCTTTTTTCCTATGTTGCAAGCGTTTCAGATATGGCAGCGATGCGACTGGCGAAGCGACGGTATATGCAGCTGTTTCCTCGTTTCCTGGAGCCCGCTTTATGGAGATTCCGACTTATGTCATCCCAAGTCGCAGGCCATTCCTGATCGCCAGGCCCATCATGGTGGAGCTTGGCACGGACACGGACTACAAAAATAAGAGGGCATGCTGGGATGGCGACGGCAAGTGGTTTCCACTGCGCCAGCAGGCCCAGAGAAGAGACTACATGGACCACTACGACAACTACGTCCTCGGTATCGAACCCGTGTGGTTGGGCCTCGCATCCGGGAGGCGCTGAGAGTTGCCATGAACCTTTTTCTTTGTGCTCCCGACAGGGGGCAACTACCTTTTGACAAGTATGCCACGAAAAGCTATATGAACTGGGTCATCACCTATGGCCGGCCCGTCGAGGGCACTCACGGTACACATAGCATTACCTTATCATGATAACCCATCGGAGGCACGTAGGCGTTCACGACGTTCGCCTGCATGAACCGTCTCTTCGACATCCCTGTACCGCCGTTCTCGGCTTCTGGCCGACGCCCGCGGGATGGGTGGTTAATCCCTTCCCCGGTTGGCTACTGTGCCACTTTCTATTATTCATCCAGGCTGTTGGAAGGTGCTCGTGCTATGGGATCTTGCCGACGCCCGCGGGATGGGTGGGTAATCCATTCCCCGGTTGGCGCCTTCAGCGTGGAGTCAGAGGCCTAGACACGCACATATACTTCGTCGGCACCCCGGGGCGTTGCGTCCTCTGTAAATCGCTGGTCGTTGAGTTCTCATGTGTTCCACGGCCGACTTCTTTCTGTTCCTTATCTTTTGGTGGACTGCTTCCCCTGCATGTCCATCGGCGGCCACATGGCCGCTGGGTGTTTGTCTTTGGCCACCAGTGCCTGGCTACACATGACGAGGAATTCACACCCATTTTGGCGTGAACTAAATCATCATGATGTTCAACTGTACCGAGACCGATTTCTTTTCGGTCATCTTCTTCTTCGTACGTATGTGGACCTGGAGGAGACTACATCATCGGGATGTCGGGGACTTGCGACACATGCTAGAAGAGCCGCGCCGACCAGACCCTTCTCCCACATCATGTGTTGGACCATGTTCGCGTGCAACACCCGATCAGCCTGTACGTCTTCCTGGGCGAAGAGGTGCTGCTATCCAAGACCGCCGAGAGGCCCCAAAGAGGCCCCGAAGAGCCACAAAAGGCTGTCAAGAGGCCCCAAAGGGGCGTCCGAGACACCCCCAAGGGGACTGCCGAACGATCTCCAAGGGGCATCTAATGAGGCACCTGGTGCACAACCCAGGCACTGTGGCGGAGTTGGCCGAACGCCGCCATGAAATAGAACATGTTTGTACAAGCATCTGGATACTTCGAATGGCCTCGAAGACCCACGAACACACTTACATTGAGGTGTAATAAGCTTGCATATGCTGCTAAACATGTGCAGATGCCAGCAAGGCTCGCCGCCGAGGCAGAAAGCAACGGCACGCCCAACGTGCCAACATGCGGCGCGGCAACTGGCAATCGCTTCTGCTTCCCAACCGTTACGTCCAACCCTGTGCACCTACCTCCCTGTGGGTGTGTTCTCTTTCTGACTTCAAATAGGTAACCGATGAATAGTTCGCCAAATATAGCGGAGTTTGTCGTGCATGTGCCAGCATATGCCTTCACAAAAGAGTCAAGCGGATTTGGCCTCTCGATCCCCCCTCGACGGACGCCAGCCATGGCGCCTGCTCCCAGACGAAGACCTTGCGGCTCATGAGGCATGTCTGGCAGTACTGCAGGCCATGCTCCTGGCGCGCACCACTGCGCCCCAGAAGGACGGGGCGCTTGTGTGGAGAGATCGGGTCAGAATGCCATAGGACAAACTACCCGAGTCATGGCCCGTTGAACTAGAACTTCACCCAGACCTTCAATGCTCCGCGTCTGCGAGGCCAGACTGCAGAAAGGCACGATGCTTGCACACTTCCAGGATCTGAGCGGTGCTTGCCCAGTCGCCCTTGCCGAACCCTAGATCGATCGCGGCTACGCCAGGCAATGACAACAGCAGTCAACATCCGTCACGTAGTTCCTGACCAAACATTGACAGACACTGGACATCGATTGCGCGATACACGCCCCGAAAGAAACAAACACGAATCCAGGTTACTTCTGCCAGCGGCTACCATCCGAGGGGTGGAATGATCACCACCCCTCATCCTCTGCCCCGAGACCGTCCACCTGCGCAGAGCAATTCTCCTCCGCCTGACATCCCCCCGTGCACCAACGAGGCAGAGCGCGACGGGGAAATACGCGCAGGTGTGGGACAACGGCGGCGCGGCGATCGTCCGCAGCGATCCTTGGCAACGTGTGCCTTCAGGCTGTCTAGGGTGTCGAAGCCTTCGCCAGCTACATTGGCATCCCCTTGGCATCTCCTGTTCGGACCAGTGCCTTCCCCCCCTCGCGTGTCACTCACCAAGGCATGGGAGGCCAGCCTGTCCCATGCGATCGACGCACAACGTCCAAGGATGGGCAGGGGCGCGATCACTCCCAGAATTGGTAGTACATGGAGAATAGCAGATGCCGAGCTAGAACATCCATCATAATTCCCCGCGTCTGCACACACAAACACACACACACACACACACACGTCAACGCACAATCTCACCACTGTCTACCTCCTGCTCGTACTCCTCCTCGTCCACCTCCTCTTCATCTGCCCTCTCCTTCCCGCTCCTCCTACTGACGCTGCTAGTTCTCATTCAACTAACCCTACTTGTCATTATCCCCCTCCTTCTAGTCCACCTCCTCTCCCACCTCCTCCTCCTCCTCCTCCTCCTCCTCCTCCTCGCGCCGATACCCAACAAACTTCCATAACCTCACCCAATATCGCCCCTCTGCGTCAATGCTCCTCAACCGGCGCGCATCGAAGTTCCGAATCCCACCAGCCCTTTCGGGCGCAAGTGGGTTAGAACGATTCCTCTTCGATCCTCCCTCTTCCACTTCCGGGAGGGCTTCATCACTGTTCCCTGTTCATGGACACCCCCTCCCCAAGGCGACCGGCAGCCCACCAGCACCAGTGAGACCCTTCCACCATCCCTGTCAAAAACAACGTCGAGTTCACTTGGTGGCAACATATTGGGTCACGATCGGGGTCGCGGCGCGAGCATTTATTGTGCTGTCTTTAGACGGGGACGGCGGGGGTGCCCGCCTATTCCCTGCCGCGCGCAAGGCCAGCATCCCGGTCAAAACACCATACAAAATGCACTTCGTGGCAAGATTTGAATCATGCGCGGGACCCCGCGATCCCTGTGCCTTGGTTTTTGACTGGGACTGCGGGGGTGCTGGCATATTGCTTGCTATGTGGAGGTCAGACAGACGCTGTGATGGCCGCTCCGCCGGGATTGCGCATTGATTTTCGACAGGGAGGGTGGGGGCCGACACGTTTCCCGATGTGTACTGCCACGTGCGCAGGCGCACCTGGCACGCTTTGCGCGTGCTCCGAGCTTAACGCACCTGGCGCGGCTGGAGCATGCGGCACACATGGTGCACGCGGATCACGTGGCGCATCTGGTGCACCTGGCGCGCGTGATGCGCCTGGCACGCATGGCGCACCTCGCCCCCGCGTTGCTGAGTACCCACCAGCGCGATGATGTCGAGATTCCCGAGCTCGTCGATGACATCCTGAGCGTGCAGTCGGTTGGCGCTGAGAGGATTGAAAATCCCCAGAGCAACGCCATTGCGGGCCGCCTGCACCACATCTCTGGTTCTGTAACTGCCATCGGGTAAGAAACCTAACATCCGTAGGAGGTGGCGCGGCGGGGGGTACAGTCTTCATTTGAGAAATTTGCCACCTTTCCTCCTCCTCCTCCTCCTCCTCCTCCAACTCCTCCTCCTCCTCCTCCTCCTCCTCCTCCTCCTCCTCCTCCTCCTCCTCCTCTGGTTCCCCCTCCATCCTCTTCCTCTTGGAGTCTGACGGCTTCCCCGCCGTAGTCCACCGCGTGCTCCCCCACATGCCTGACCAGGGCAGATCACCGGGGTATCGCTTCTGGATGGCCTGGTGGGGCGACGGGAAGCGTCTGTAAATATCCCTGCATGCCGGGCGGAGATGCTTTGCGTCTCGGTGCACTCTTGGACGTGGCAGCTGTAGTCGAACAGCGACTCTGCCTGGCGCGCGCCTGCTCCCTCCTCCAGCTACTTCGGCCACATGCTGCTATCGGCGCGACTTGGCTCAAGCTGTCAAAGATATGGCACGGAGAACACATCGCGCTGTGCCAATGCATCCCGAACATACCGCAACGATTCCGATGCGGCTTTGCTGTGTAATTCGCTTCAGCGGTTCGTGTTCGTATTCGACTGCAGCGGTAACTCAGTTGTGAGAAACTGCGGCATTGTCATTGTACTTTATCTCTGGTGTTCAGTCCGACATGATGGTCTGGGCCCTGCTCTGGCTGAATGAGGCGTTGAGCTCCAGCCCTAGCTTGCGCCTAGATTTGATGATTTCGCGCTAGAGCTTGAGCTCGAGCGTTGGCGGCAACGCGGTGGCTGCTAGCGTGTGGCTTATATGAGGAATAGCATCTGCAACATGTGCCCGCGGGCTTGGGCTGTGGCTTTGACATTGGCTTCATCGAACAAGTGATTTGAGATGATGATGATGACGATGACGATGACGATGACGATGATGATGATGATGATGATGATGATGATGATGATGATGATGATGATGATGATGATGATGATGATGATGATGATGATGTGATGATGATGATGCGGACTTGGTATCGGCTTCGGCCTCGGTGCTGGCAGTGCCTCCAGATGCGTACCCTTCCCGTCACGCTGAGCGCAAACTTTGCGTGCGGATTGGGGGCTGGCCACGTGCACCCCTGCCCGCCAACCGGCAGCAGTACGTAAAAGCATGAGGTGGGAAGGCGGATAAAGTACAGTCGGGGCGTTGACCTAAGGAACCCTGAATAAGGAACGAGGCCCCTTATATCCACAAGTTGAGCTTTGATTTCCCATGGAAAACCTCAGGAAAACAGAAGGCAAACTGCAGAACAATCAAGGAACACCGAGCCCCTCCCCAACGAAAAGGGTTCCTTCTTCAGGGCCCCGACTGTAGATTCGATTCGGGCCCGCCTAGAAAATAGCAAATACACAACCAACACACAGATCGACGGTTGAAGTAGGAAGGCGCCCGAAGCAGATTGGGATCTGGGAGCCTAGGAAGTGTCCACTTTCAACGACTGGCGTGTGGGGCAGGAGAGCCCAGAATCGAATCGACAAGTCGGATCGGCGATCGATTTGAATCGGATCGGCGCAAATCGGCACCCGAGTCGGGAAACGTCGGATCGGCGGAGATCGGCAAGCCAATGTGCCTCCAACGAGACCTCGGAATCCCCAACCCGCTTCCCGAGCCGCATCGCACCGGCATCGGGACCCCAACGAGGTCGAATCGGATCGAATCGGAAGAATCGAAACCAGCCCTGGTGGGGTGCGCAGGGGTTCTGAAGGGGCCCTGGGACACACATATAGATACACACAAATAACAGGGTTCCCCATATTTTCCCATATCTTCTGGGCTTTTTCTTTCCCACCCACTTCCCACATTTTCCCATATCTTCCTGGGGATCGACGATTGCACGTCGGTCGGCAGAAGTAGGTAGAAACATGAAGTAGGAAGGCGGATATAGTAGATTGGGTCCAGGCCCTCCCAGAGAATAACAAAACACAGCAACAGCAAGCCGACTCTTGAAGTAGGAAGGCGCTTGAAGTAGATTGTGATCTGGGAGTCCAAAAATACATATTTTCAACGACCGGCGTGTATCCTCACGGGCGTGGCCTGGGCCGCACAGGCCGATCCAGCCACCTCGATGGGGACATGGGCTGCTCCCTTCGAGGTTCGAGGGGCACGCCCCGAACCGGGGTGGTGGGATGGTGGGGATCTGGACGGGGATGGTGAAGGGGACTTCCCACATTTTCCCATATCTTCCTGGGGATCGACGATTCATTGTGTCTGTGTTTTGTTTCTTTCGATGAAGACACAGCAGCTGAGGGCCCCTTAAACGCGACCCGGGGGCGAGGAGCCACCCAGACTTTCGGCGACAGCCGAGCGCCTTATGTACACTATGGTACCAGTCCCCTACTCAAAAGCGTTCTGACAGAGCCTGCTGAATACGACATCGCTACAGTACCCCGGCAAGGACGGAAGCAAAACCTTGAAATGGCCCCGGATTTGGGATCCCGGCGGAGGGGCGACGATTCATTGTGTCTGTGTGTGTCTTCTTAAAACAGGGCTAGGATCGGGATAAATCGCTCCAGAGCGTTCCGGAGCGCTCTCAAAGCGTTCCGGAACGCTCTGGAGCGGTCGCGGCGCCCAATACATCCTCCAAACCCGCCGATTCTCAGAGGTTTCGAGTCATCCCAATCCGATTTTGTCCCGATCTTCGCGTCGTTTTACTTCTGCTCCCTCCCGAGGCTCTGCGGGGGAGAAGCGGCGCCCGCGGACGGCTGCGCAGCGCGGGCGCCGCCGCAGCGCACAGCGAGGGCGCGCGCCGCGGGCACCCCGCACGGCGGGGGCCGGGCGCGGGCGGCCTGCCCGCCCACGGCACGGAGGGCGGAGGGGGCACCGTGGGGGCACGAGCGCCGTGGGGGGAGGAGGAGGAGGAGGAGGAGGAGGAGGAGGAGGAGGAGGAGGAGGAGGAGGAGGAGGAGGAGGAGGAGGAGGAGGAGGAGGAGGAGGAGGCGGAGGAGGAGGAGGAGGAGGAGGAGGAGGAGGAGGAGGAGGAGGAGGAGGAGGCGGAGGCCTGCCGCGGGGGCACGAGCGCCGTGGGCACCGTCGGTGCAGGGCTGAACCCGAAGGGTGTTTTCCGCTCTCGTTTCGTCTTCGTTGTCCCTCGCTCTGTCTCCAATCCGCCGTTGCCGCAGAACGAGCTCGAGACGAAGACGGCCCACGAAAGCGCCCAAACACCGTTGAGGTCCAGCCCTGCGTCGGTGGACGAGGCTGTGAGCAGCCTCGCCTCGGGAGTCCTTCCTGCTCTTGTGGGCCCGTGCGTATGATCAGAGGGCGAGCGAGGGGGGGGAGCGAGAAGGGGCGGGCCTCCTCAGGAGACTCGGAAGTCCCCGGCCACCTGAGAAGTTTTCTGAGCTTTCCAGGAACACACAAAAAACTTCTCAGAAGGCGCGAGGGCTTCTGAGAAGTCGCCGTCTTCTGGGAAGGTCTTCTCCTTCTCACTTCCCCCCGTCGCTCGCCGCCGATCATTTTGTGTACCTCACCATTCCACAACACCAAGACACCGGCCGCCTGGCCGCACAGCAGACTAGCGTCACCAACATTCGACACTGCAGGAGCAAGGGTCTCCTGAACAACAACACAGAATGCGGTCATCAGTGGCGAGGCGCGGTTGCGGACCCACGAATCTGTGCGCAATTTCGATCACACAACACGGAAACGAAACTCGATTACCAACGCTAGCGCAAGGAAATATCTCCCAGTTGGGCTGTCCTGATGGAGGTGTTCGAAAGCTGCACCCTCACATTACTCACCATACGATGCGTTCTGCAACCATGCCAAGTCTCAGTGCACTTGCACTGCTGCGAGTTGAAGATTCGACAAACACCCACCGACCCTGAAACCTGTTGGCTTGTGTGAGGGGGTGGTCCTGGGGGACGCTTTTCGCCCGAAATGGGTACGGAAAAAATGGGTACAATGCCCAAGAAAAAAAATTGTCCCAAACCACCAGCGGCCGCTGTTGGGCGGGCGGCCTTCTGTCTCGAATAGACACAGGCCGCAGCGGCGCGGACAGCGAGCCCTGTTCAAAATGAACAGGAACCGCCGTTGCGCATTGTACCCACTCTTTCTGTGCTCTTTTCGCTCGTGCAGAAGATCGGGTGGGGATGGATCGAGAATCTCTGAGATCCGGCGGCTCGGGAGGATGCCTCGGGCGCCGCGGTCTTCTCAGAGCGCTCCGAAACGCTCCGGGAGCGTCGTCGTCCTGGTCCCGCCCGGGGCGCGGAGGCACGCTCGCTCCCGAGGGTTGAGGAGGGATGAGGATGAGGAGGAGGAGGAGGAGGAGGAGGAGGAGGAGGAGAGGAAGGAGGACGAGGAGGGGGAGGAGGCTCCTCAACGGGGGCCCCGTCTCCCCGAAAAAACCCAGGGTGCAGGCTGCTGCTGCCGCTGGCCCTCGGCCTCGTCGCCACGGGGGGGCTCGCTGCTCCGATATGCCGGGCTCGCCCGCTCACGCGGCCTGACGGTACGGCTGGAGCTCGACCACAAGGCAACTTCCACAGGGAGGAGGAGGAGGAGGAGGAGGAGGAGGAGGAGGAGGAGGAGGAGGAGGAGGGGGAGGAGGGGGGGGAGGAGGAGGAGGAGGAGGAGGAGGAGGAGGAGGAGGAGGAGGAGGAGGAGGAGGAGGAGGAGGAGGAGGAGGCGAAAGAGGAGGGAGAGGAAGAGGAGGAGGAGGAGGAGGGGAAGTCGGAGGAGGAGGAGCAGGAGGAGGAGGAGGAAGCCGACCCCAGGATGTCCGCTGACTTTTGGTATGGGAACGTCGCGCTGTCCATGGCAAACCATCGAAACCCACGAAACCCAGGGCACCCTGGAGGCAAGCGGGGTGTTTCTTGGCATGAGCTTCCGTTGTGCTGCAGAGGATACGTCGACCCATATCCCAGGCTTCGTGGGGTTTTCGAGCGGACCATGAGTTTTGGGCCCAACCCTGGGATATATCGATAGGGGTGCGTCCGAATAGCTCCTCGGGGTGTATCCCAGGGTTCCCCCCTCTTCTGAATGTCCAAACTGTTCGGGCGGAACTCGGGGATTTGGGGAGAAAAGTCGCCTGCGACTGTACTCTCCTGGACTTCCTATGGACCTCCTGGATCCGATACCACTCTAAGGAAACCGAAGGGTACCGATACCGCCACTCCCTGAACCTCTCCCGGGGTGCGAATCCAGCAGTGAAGACGAGGGCCTCCCAGGAGGCCCAAAAAAGCGAGAACAAGGCAAAGGTAGCAATATCGGTACATGTTCCTCCTCTGACACTCTATCCGCTCCACTTTGGCATCTCTAATTCGGGCCGTCTCCAAGGAAAAGGAAGACAATGCCTCGTCGCGCGCCGCCTCGGAGCAATAGATCATACCAAATCGCTCATCTGCGGGTGGGGGGCATCGGCTGCCACAGCCTTGCCTGACCTGCCTCGCCAAATTACACACCATCTGTCCAGCTCTGTGCTTTGCCACCCCATGAACACGGTAGAAAAATGGGATGCAAAATGAACTGCACCAACATGGAAACAATGCAATATCTTGTTTTTCTGCCTGTAAAGCACCTGACTGTCCCTTGAAATCCTCGTGGAAGGGGCGCGTCGGGGCCGTCCGTTCCATCTCATAACAAAGCCTGTCGACCATCTGACACTGCGGACCTTGGCACACAACCATGAGCTGGCCATCCAGCCTGTCTGCGTGTCAATGAAACATCGGTTGTGCTCGCCTTCCTGTTGTCGCTTTGGATTTTCCTTCTGGCGCGACTCGCGACTCCACGGGGGTCATGCGAATCCCGAGTATAAACTGCGGAATCAACATTCATTTGACGCCATTCCCGACAGACGGGAGCAGCTTGACGTTTTTTTATCGCAACGATGTGAGACACAAAGCGTTCGGGCTGGAGAAAATCTTGAAACATAGGTCCGACTGCGTTGCGTTCCGAAGCAATCCACACCCACCTGGACTCTGGAAAACTTCACAAGGAAAACAACGATGACCATCCATCACTGGCACCTGCAGCTGGGCACTGGCACAAATCATCAAGTTGCTGAACACATGGCTCCAAACTCTTGCTGGTCAACATCCCACCCCCGGTACCGTTGAGGCTTGTGGATGCCATAACAATGGGTACTCTAACAATCCAATCATTGATCTGACAAGGTGCTTGGGATGTTTAAAACAAGGTTCCAACAATGCTCAAAACTTGTTGCATGCTTAACACATGTTCGAAACATGTGTTAGGCATCTGGGCATTCTTTGGCAGCACGCTTCCTCTCCATTGATCGGCCTCCACAAGCTCAGGCAAACATCTCCGCTCACGCCGCCCCCCCTCCCCCCCGACCACGCCAAGGCCCTCCCAGAGCTGCGGTTGCCACGCCGCGCCGACGCCCATGCCCCAGACCCCCGCGGGGTCCACAGGGCACCATTCCTCCAGGGCCGCGTGCAGTGGTGGCGTCGCCCCCCCCCCCCCCCTCGGAGTCGAACTACCGTGGTCTCAACTTGGCTTCCTCTTCTGCAATTGGGTCGGGCATGTCCGACTACAGGCGGATTTATGGCGACAAATGAAAGTTGCGAAAACAATACATACATATATATATATATATATATATATACACATATATATATATACACACATTAACGGGTAAAACAAAATGGTGGGAAATTCGTTCCCTTATATGTTTGGGTTATTATTGAACATTCCTCCTGTAGAGGGACAGGCCCGACTTAGTGCTACGGCGACTCCCGTGCTACAGGAGGTGTACAAGGGCAGCTGAGCTCGCGCTCCGCACCTCGCGAAGCGCGACGAACTTCGCGTTCCCGCGCCCCCCCCCCCCCGGGGGAGAGGATTTTTCAGCATCGACAACTTCATCCATGACTGGAGCTGGAAAGCGGCATTAAATGTCCATCACCCCGTCGCCGTCTACTGTACTTGACGCCCCGTGCTTGGGGTAGTGGCCTCGCAGCAGTCTGTTCCACAGAGATCTTTTCTGTGGAGTCATCTGTTGGAAACATTTGCCCAGGAGGTTCGACTTCTTGACTGAGCCCGAACCCACGCGCGAGGCACATTGAATGCACACGTGGAGCATCCCACTGTCAGAACACGGTAAAACGACCACAAAATGGCCACGACGCTCCATCGCACCAGAATCTAGCCCGTCCACCATACCCGAACAGCCTGAGACTGGGGGACGGAAATTAAACCGTGCGGTCTTCATGCATATAGTACACCTCCAACGTCCACAAGTGAAAGTCCATGCATGGTGGCGTCTGGCCCTCCCTCCCGACTTCCGTCGGACTGGGGGGCAGAGCTCCACTCCGCGGGGGTCAGGCTTCGGCCATTCAGAGAGCAACGCTGCGGCCAGCATACATACAGCGCGCGATCAACGTCGACTTGTGCAAAGCGTCAACGAGATTCTGATCGGCAGAATCATGGAGGCGAGATCCAGCCCCGGCCGCCTCGTCAGCCTGGGAATCCCACCAGCCCTCTGGGCGTAGGTGGTCTAGAGCAGATCCTCTTCCACCCCTCCCTCTTCCCCCTTGGGGAGGGGTTTACCCCTCCCCCTACCCCCTCCCCTGGACCTGGACGGGGGGGGCCGCGGGTAGTTAGAGCGTCCAAGATGGCCCAAGACGGCTCCAAGAGCGCCTCAGAGAACCCAAGATGAGCTCCAAGATGGCTCAAGATAGCGCAAGATCGCTCACGATGGCTCCTAAGATGGTTCCAAGAAGCCCAAAGACGGCCCCAAGATAACTCCAAGTGGCCAAACAGCTCCCCAAGGAGGCCCCGAAGAGGCCAAAATCGTCCCAAAACCTAAGGAAAATCAATGATTTTTGCTTTCTCGCCTTTTCGCTTCCGATGGCCATCCGAGGCCTGGAGATGGCTCCAAGATGGCCCAAGAGGGCCCCAAGAGAGCCCCAAAAGAGCCCCAAGACGGCCCCAAGAGCGCCCAAGAGCACTCCAAGAGCGTTCCAAGAGGGGTCCAAGAGGCGATTTTAGGGGCTTCCGAGGGGGGACGCTAATTAAACCCCCCCTCTTGTTTGATCGACTCCCTCCAAGATGGCCCCAAAAGCGCCCCGAAGGCTCCCCAGAGCGCCTCAAGAGGGTCCCAAGAGGCGCCCAAGATGCCCCAAGGCGCCCAAAAAGCCCTCCAAGAGGCCCTCAAAAGACCCCCAAGAAGCTCCTTCCCCTCCTCCTCCTCCTCCTCCGATTCTTCCTCCTTCTCCGTCCTCCTCCTCCTCCTCCTCCTCCTCCTCTTCCCCCTCCTCCTCCTCCTCCTCCTCCGACGACGACGACGACGACGACGACTCCTCTTCCATCCTCCCCCTCTCGGGGTCTGTGACAGCTTCCCCCGCCCTTTGTTATTCTGCATGCTCCCCGACTTCCCTGATCACCTCAACTCCCCTGAGCATCGTTTCTGGATGGGCTGGTGGGGATACGCGAAGCGTCAACAATTCCCTTTGCGCAGGAGCATCTCCTCGGCAGGCAAACCTTTCGCCTCCAGAGAGAGGTGAGCCTCTACTTCCTTTGCTGACTTTATCCGCTGCCGCCCAGGAAACGCGAAGCTAAGAGGACCAGCACATGGCCGCTGGCACGACATCTGTTCACCCAGGGGTCTCCGAGCCTGCACACGCACGTTCTGGCAGTCCGAATACAGGGTGGCCTCTCCTTGTAAAAACTGCCCAAGACGCCGGCGCGCCGGGAACTTAGCCGCCTGGGCCGCCTGGCCAAGGGCCCCGCAGTGCCAAAAACGCGCCCAAAGAGCTTCTGGGCAACACTGAAAATGGAAAACCCCAAGCCAGCCCGACTTAATTCAGGTATATCATTTTGCAGCAGCTCCCGTCCATGAGCACCTCCCCCTATGATCATGTGCTCATCTTCCTGCTGCGGCTCCTCCTCCCCCCGCTGCCAGGCCTCGGCCAGTAATCACCCGGAGGCGGAAACAGACCTCGGGCGAGGAGGAGGAGAGCCAGGGGTTCCTTAGGGCCCACGCTGCGGCATAGATCCCAAACCTCCTGCGGCGCAATCTCATTCGCGACTTCCTCAAGGCAAGGGCATCACCAAAGACGGCACAGGACTGCGCCGGGCTCTTGTCCACACAGGGCGCATGATACATCTTCCAGCTGATATCCGAGACTACGTGCTCTGACCTTCGCCCAGCTGGCGCCGCAACCGATGGTTCGAATCGCGGCGTGACCCGACGGGGAGACACGGGGGGATCTCAAGATCGTCTTCGCAGCGTCATAGCATAGTCTCGGAACTCCAATGCTAGACTTCGCCACTGCCTCGCGCTCTAACTCTCGCAGCACCGCCTGACGGAGTGACTTCAAAAGGGCTGGGCTTACCTCAGTAAGAATAACATCCTCACCGAAATCGTTCAAAAAGGTCACCCAATCCTTCAACTGCCACCTGATTCGTTTCAGAGACAGAGCCGCATCGCCGGAAAACGGGCCCGCGACTGTACGCCAAAACGACGGTTCAGGCCGGCTGCAAAAAACCTCCCAGGCATCTCGCGACTCTGAAAAGGTGAACGACCAGCAGCTTGGCCCCACGATTGACCCCGCCTGCCGTCGCATTTCGCATAGCTCACCGTCCGAGACCCCGCGAGCTTCGGCCCCATGCAGAAGCCCAGAGAGGGGCCCAGACACCCAAACCTTTTGGCATGCACCGGCAACTTTTTCTTCATGCTCCAAGTATGATTGGACTTCTGCCCAGCACGCTCGCCTAGGAAGGCATGAAGGGCACCCGCAACAACGCTGTCTGAGCACACCAGGTTGCCTTGACCCGCCTTTGCCAATGACATCGAACTGCCGCATTCCTTGACCAGAGCACGCTCTGGCGGCGCGGCTCCTTCTTTGATGCCCTGATCGCTTCCTCAGCCGAGCCCGTGGAGTCCACGTCAGAATCGTCTATGAACAGACCAAAGGACACGCCCCTCGGAAGTTTCATGGCACTCAGCGGCCCCAGGAGGCACACGCGAACGAAACTCGTCTCCATGGAGCAGCCCGCCACAACACCTCTGGACGCAAAGAAGGGCACAGCCACCGCCGTGGCCATGCTTATAAAGCGACCATACCTGTACGTTGTAAGGCACAGCTGCAGGACATCCGCACTTCCTGCATTCCTCCTCCAATCGCGAAAACGCATTCTCATGGAACTTTGTCATGCCCCAAAGCAATAACGCCGAGGCCTTCCCCTTCTTCCCGCTGGTCTCAACCCTGACCGACTGTTGCCGCGCAGCGTCGGCAGTAAAAGCAAAAGGACTGCCAGCGAAAATGCGTCGCGCGTTTCTCCCCTCCCGAGCCGCCGCCGCGCCCCTCCTGCGCCCCCCCCGCAAACGTCGCGTGGAAACAGACAACCCGATCGGCCTCCACCCACCGCTCGCCTTGCGTA